TTCCAAAATGTCTACATAATATACTACCATCAGCTTTAAAAAAAAAAAAAAAAAAAGGTCACCATGAGTCAGAGCTGACTACACAGCAACTAATAACAAAGTGATAACTGAGAGATTGGATAGGGAGGTAAAGAATTGAGGAAGATTCCTTGGTTTCTTATTTGGACAACTGAGAGGATGGTGATGCCATTTACCAACACAGGAAACAGGAAAAAGTGGAACAGGTATGAGAGTAGAAGATGATGGTGTAATATTGATTTAATATTTATGAAGAAATGGAGCAAAATTCTGAATTAGCCAAGGCTTTGGTGTAGGTTCTGAGCTTTTTCAGTAGTAAGATAACTTTCAAATACTTTTTTTCTCAAAAAAGGGTATATGCATATGTCCGTTTGTTTTCTGTGTTGCTAGGGGAGAGGACTGGTATGGAGATTCATAATGCCATAGCTCTCCTTGTATACTAAGAACATTCTAGTGGATCTGGGTCAGTCTTCAGGCTGATGGCCATTTAAAACCACCTGGTCCTGGTGATATATAGAAATGTGATGTGTAGAAATTGTGTGTGGGGATGAAGTGTTGCAGAGCTTTTTTTGTTTGCTTTGTTTTTACTCTCATAAGGGGGATTACGTCTAGAATCCTCCCTTTCCTTTTATATTAAGTCCAATCTTGATTATATCTGTTTCCATGGTTCAAGGGAGAAATTTTCATAATTTTTGGTAGAAAAAATAAAGAGAGCTTCCAACAGTATTTCAAATCACATTTACTCATGTGATTATTTGGAGTAAAATAATGTTAAAATGCTATATTTTTCCCTTTTAGGGTGGAGATTTCAAACTGTTGAAACGTGGAGAAATGGCTTTCATTGATTTAGCTATCAGATGTATCTATACTATTCTTATTTGCACATCATTTTTCTGCACTTTGTCTTCAAACACTGAGATAAAAGGTAAATCAACAGATTGAATAGATTTTAATGGAGTCATTTTAAAATTAGAATATTTACTAACGTTTTGACCCACCTTATGGAAGTGCCATAACAGGTAGATGTGGTATTGGAAATGTTTCAGGAATTCCATGCGCAAAAGACTTGTTCTTTCTAGTCAGCCACATTTCTAAGGTAACTGATGATTATAAACATTTTGTGGAATAAAGCCAAAAGACAGTTTTCATACACTTTTGCATAGCCTTCCCTAACAAATAGGTCAAATATCTGAAACATCCTTGCTGGTACCCAACTAACTAGAACCTTTCCTTAATGAGTACCCTTGACTTTATATATGATATTTATTGTGGTTAAGGTGAAAGTTTACACAGCAAATTAGGTTCCCATGTAACAATTTCTACACAAACTATTCAGTGATACTGGTTACATTTTTCACAATGTGTCATCATTTGCTTCCATTCTGTTTGGTTGCACCACTCTTGACCATTTGGTCTCATATAGATGATTTTTTTAAAAGAAGTTTATTATTCACAGGTGATTTTTTTTTTTTTAAATTATGAACCAATCCGTTATTTAGCTAAAAGGTGACTTCAAGGGATAATCTCTGATTAAGGTTTAAAGACTATCTCAGGGCAATAGTCTCTGGGAGTCCTCTAGTCTCAACTGGTTCAGCAAGTCTGGACTTTTTACCCTTGACTTTCACGACCGTTAGACACATAAGGAAAAAAATACTGCAGCAATTTAAAGTAAAATTTAAAAATAACTATAGAATTATCAAATCATGTCTAATGTGCTTTTCAAGTAGCCCTGGTGGTGCAGTGGTTAAAGCACTTGGCTACAAACTGAAAGGTTGGTGGTTCAAACCAATCAGCCACCCCACAGGAGAAAGATGTGGCAGTCTACTTCTGTAAGGATTTACAATTTTGGAAACCCTATGGGGCAGTTTTACTGTGTCCTTACCGGGTCACTATGACTCACAATCAACTCGATGGCAATGGGTTTGGTTTTGGTTTGAATGTACTTTTCTTATTGCAGAAGGCAATTACAACAATGCATTCGACACAGATTCTAACCACAAGAGTTGAAATCCTAGGATTGTCATTTCATCCTTAATAGGGTGCATGGGGGGTCTCACGTCAAATCATAATTTGTGCCACAATTTCTTTCTGTGGATTGTCTCCCTTACCTCAATAAGTATTATGAAGTCAAGTATTAAAATGAACAAGAGAGTAGCAATGAGATGAAAATTATTAGCAAAAAGGCAACATGAGAGCAGCAGTTTTAGATTTGCTAGTAGGAAAGTTTATAGAATTATCACATGTATGTGTGAATTATATATATGCACATATATGTGTGTGTATGTGTCTTATTGCTTTTTAAATAATCAGATGGTGTAGTCATTGTCTCCCACTGTCCTTTCAGCCTCCCCTCAAAGAAAGCACCTTTTTGTGAGACCCTCCAAAGATTGGTTCTGCTTTGCTGCAGTACAGGAATAACTCCGACCCTTAGCTCAAACTAGAGGATTCAATTAGCAAGAATAGACCACCAAGATCTGCCTGTTCTCCAAATTCTGAAGTCAGTTAAAGTTTAAGCTATAGTGGCCTTATTTTATGTTTATCATTCCCTTTTGTACCAACCATAACGTTATATGAATGTAATAAACTCTGAATAACTACTACTTGGTTCTTACTATTAGAGAGGTTTATGTAATAAAGTGTTCCCGTCCTAGACCAAATTCTAGTCTGCATGACCACAGAGCTAATTCCATGCTAAATTTCTTGTTTCTATGTGACTTTGTATCTGTCATTGTGAAAATGCCTTTTGCCAAACGAAAGCTCCATTTCTGATGAAACAAACTCACATTTTGCGTATGTGAATTCTTAAAGGGACAAAGATACAGCAGTGATCTGTAATTTTAACACATTTATGGAAATATAACTCACATATCATAAAATGCACTCATGTAAAATGTACTATTCAGTGGTCTTTAGTATATTCACAAAATTGGGCAGTGGTCATCACTACCTAACTCTCAATCATTTTCTTCCCCAAATATAACCCTGTCCACATTAGTAGTCACTGTCCTTGACCCCTTCAGTTTTTGACAACCACTAATCTACCTTCAGTCTCTGTGAATGTACCTACTGTGGACATTTCCTATAAATGGAATCATACATTATATGACCTTTTGTATGTGGCTTGTTTCACTTACCACAACATTTTCAAGGTTCATCCATGTTGTAGCATGTATCAGTATTCCACTCATTTTTATGGCCGAATAATATTCCAAGCTATGGAGATACCACATTTGTTTTATCCATTCATCAGTTGGGCAATTGGAAGTAATTTAGATCTGCCACTTTGCCATAAAGTACAAGAAAATATACTTTATTTTATTTTATTTCAGTTAATCCTCCTCAAGATTTTGAAATAGTAGATCCTGGATATTTAGGCTATCTCTATTTGCAATGGAAACCTCCACTGTCTCTGGATAATTTTAAGGAATGTCCGGTAGAATATGAATTAAAATACCGAAACTTTGATAGCAAAAGCTGGAAGGTAAGCAAAACACGCACTTGGGATGTTGTTGTTGTTGTTGTTATGTGCTGTCAAGTCGGATCCGATAGCAGAATGATGAAGAGGAGTTTTCTGGTTTCCTGACTTTAATGTCAATTCTAATCCCCATACTTGAATAACGATCATTAGGGTAGAACAAGCTTCCATGCCTGCTGCTATCCTGAGCGTCCTGTCACAACTCCTATCACTCCATTCAGTGTTAAGTCTACCATTGGAAGGACAGGAAAAAATAAACAAATCAACAACCTTGGTCCCATGGAATATGGACTTGAAGACTACTTACACATTTTGCCACATTTTGCCACATTTTATTTGTATAGTTATATTGTTAGTTGTTAGATGCCATTGAGTCAGTTCCAACTCATAGTGACCCCATGTACAACAGAATGAAACATTACCCAGGCTTGTGCATCCTCACAATCCTTGCTATGCTTAAGCTCATCTTTGTAGCCACTGTGTCAATCCATCTCATTGAGGGTCTTCTCTTTTTTCACTGACCCTACACTACACCAAGTATGATATCCATCTCTAGGGATATCCATGCTGTTGTTGTTGTTATGTGCCATTGAGTCGGACCGGATTCATAGCGACCCCTCCTTGGGTTTCCGAGGCAGTATCACTACAGAGGTAGATTCCCCAACCTTCTTTCTGAGGAGTGGCTGGTGGGTTTGAACCACTAGCCATCTGGTTAGCAGTCAAGTGCCTTAGGCACTATGCTACCAGAGCTCCTATCCTAGGGAGCATAGGAGTATATATTTAACTATATAGTTATATGTACTTTTAATTATAGACATAGTTATTTATATATTTATATATGTTACTGGGCTGTAAGCTTTTTCTTTATAGGAGTCGAGCCTTGTTTATCTTTGTTCTCCGCCCAATGAACACAGCATGATGCTTTATATATATTGTAGTAAGTGTTCAATACAAGTTTATTGGCTTATTAACTATTTACATACTCACCAATTATGTTAATGTGAAGATTTCTGTCATGCAAAGTATTCTGCTCCCTCTCAAATGCTGTTCACCTTCAAGAAACAATTCAAATAAAACATTTATTGAGCAATTTCTATGTCAGGCACTCTGCTAGGCATTTGGAATACGGGATAAAAAAATACAAGATTTTTGTCCAACTGGACAGGTTTTTACTTTATGAGATTCCTGAAGTTTATTATATTGGAAAGGTCATAAATCTTTTCTCAAGCAATATGCATATATAATGGGAAAATCATCTATTTGTTTTCCAGTTTGATAGAGCTCAAGCTCCTATCCATGGATTTTTTTCCCCTTGGGGAGTTTTTTTTTTTTTTTTTTTCCCTTTCTTAACAAGAGGTTAAGTAAGATCCAAATGATCTCTTGAAATTTTATGATACACGGAGGTAAACTCTGTCAGAAATATATCTCGGGCACTGTATCATATAATCAAGAATGTCTTCAATATTGTTTTCTCTCCAAGGTATTAATGACTTTTTAGCATTAGTAACGTGGCTCATGATCCCATGATTATTTCTAAGCTTGACTCTGTCTCATCTTTTTATCAAATAGACCATCATTACTAAGAAGCTGAACTATAAAGATGGGTTTGATCTTAACAAGGGCGTTGAAGCCAAAATACACACACTTCTGCCTCAACAATGTACAAATGGATCAGATGTTCAAAGTTCATGGTCAGAAGCTACTTATTGGACTCCACTGCAAGGTTGAAAAAAAGTTCTATTTTCATTTTTAATATCATTAGAGCAATTCATATAGGGAATAAGTTCATTTTATACAGGGAATAACTTAGTCCCTTAACTCTTCCTATGCACCAGACTGTAGCTATCATAGATTCTGTGGCACAGAATGGAATCCATCTTACAAACAGGTGACTGGCCTTTTTATTTTTTTAAATTGGCAAATATGTCCTGCAAAATATACATCTTATGAGGTTAATATAGGTCCCAGCTGTTGAGTCATATTAGTAAATATGTATGTGAGTATTTGTTCAACTGCTCAGAGCATACTAGAATTTTTAACTAATAACTTTCAATATATTTACACTAACATCAGTAAATGAGCCCTCAAATGTTTTTGATATTGATTGCTCCACTTACAGTGAAGTGATTTTCAACAACCTCCTTTTGAAATATTCCTGATTATGTTCATTGCTAAAGGAAACCGAGAGGCCAGAGGAAATGCAATACACTTACATAGTTATTTCACAAATTATTCATCACCATGCCTTTCAACATTTACAGTTGTTTCATTCCTTAGGAAATTTGGAAACTAAAATTCAGGATATGGATTGTGTATACTACAACTGGCAATATTTACTCTGCTCTTGGAAACCTGGCATAGACATTTCTTTTGATACCAATTACTATTTGTTTTACTGGTAAGTATTTTTATAACCAGAGTTTCATATTAAGAAAGAATCTATCAAAATTAATCCACAGGTTGAGTAACTGCATTTTCACTAGATCAAATTTATTATATTGAGAGTTGTATTTATGACGATAGTTGTTTGCAGGCACTGGGGGCTTTCAGTGGGAGTAAGTGGGCTCAGGCTGCAGCCACTGGAAGGTGTTCTATACTGGAACTGTACAGTATTAAAGTTTGTATCCTTTAGAAGAAGTCCTGGGTGGTGCAAACTGGTAATGCACTCAGCTGCTAGTTGCAAGGTTGGAGGTTCAAGTCCACTCAGAAACCTTGGAAGAAAGGCCTGGGATCTACTTCCAAACACTGGCCATGGAAAACCCTATGGAACACAGTTCTACTCTGACACACATGGGGTCTCCATGAGTCGGAACTGACTCCGCAGCAACTGGAAAATCCCTTAGATAGATGGAGTTATAAACTAAAAAGTTTTGGCACGTTTTATGTTCTTGCCTTTGAAAGAAGCATGTATTTATTAAACTATTCTTTCTCTTACTTCCTTACCTTTGTTAATTGCACTGAGACTTTTGAACATGGAACCATATTGACTCTTCCCTCTCCTTTATTCCTTAATTGTTTCATGGTAACATTGATCCTCAAGTTCTGACTCTCTTTTTGCAAGGTCTCAGGCTATTCATTGCCATCAAGATAAAATCCAGGCTGACAGTGGAGTCTGTGCCTGAATTTTCAACATTACTTTCTAGTATCACCAAAGGAAATATTCCAGGACTTTTATGCCTTTGTATGTATTGCCACTGGAATTCCCTGTGATTCCCTCTCTCTTTCACCAACTCTTATCTATCCTTCAAGGATCAGAACTCTTACTTTTTTATTGTTCAGATAGTATTACAAGTTTTCTCATATATGTATGCTTTGTTTCTTCTCAATTTTTGTGTGTATTTAATTTTATTTATTCTCCATAGCAATTTTTTTTTATCATTCCAAAACACGAATTAGGCATCTATTGTTTGTCAGCAACTATGGGATACATGCTATTTTGATAGAGTCATTTTGAAACAACCTAAAATAAACACATACATTTCACATTTTAAAATTTAACAAGTAATCTATAAAACAGACATCCCCCTTATTGTGTATTGCCTTCCGCTTCACCTAAGTTAATATGTGTCTAGTTAGTGGTTTACCTCCTTTTCCCTCCCACCCATGGTAACCATCAACCAATATTGCCTTTTGTGCGTAAATCTCTTCTTGAGTTTTCACAATAGTGGTCTCATACAATACTTATCCTTTTGTGATTGACACTCAGCACAGTATCCTCTAGGTTCACCCATGTTATGAGATATTTTGCAGACTCACAGTTATTGTTTAGTGTCATATAGTATTCCATTGCATGTACTATAGTTTATCCATTCATTTGTTGTTGGGCATTTTATTTGTTTCCATCTCTTTGCTATTGTGAATAGTGCTGTGATGTACGTGAGTGCGCCTATATATCTGTTTGTGTCATGGCTCTTATTTCTCTAGGAGATAAAAGTAGTAGTGGAATGGCTGGGTCATATGAAGTTTCTATTTTTAGCTTTTAAGGACGTGCCATCCTGTTTTCCACAGTGGCTATACTATTTTACAGTCTCACCAGCAGTGTATGAGGGTTACAATATTTTACACCCTTGCCAGCATTTGTTGTCTGTCTTTTTGAACTTTGCTATTAATGCTGGGGTGAGATGATATTTCATTATTATCTGGATTTGTATCTCTCTAATGGAAAATTGGGGAGCTCTGGTAGCATAGTGCCTAAGGCACTTGACTGCTAACCAGAAGGCTGGCAGTTCAAACTCACCAGCCACTCCTCAGAAGGAAGGTTGGGCAATCCTACTTCCATAGTGATACTGCCTCGGAAACCCAAGGAGGGGTCACTATGAGTCTGGGCCGACTCGACGGCATATAACAACAACAACAACAACAATGGAAAATTGAGGAGCTCTGGTGGTGTAATGTTTAAGGCACTTAGCTTCTAACTAAAAGGTTGGTGTTACAAACCCATCAACCCCTCTGTGAAAGAAAGATGGGCAGTCTGTTGTAAAGATTTACCCCTTGGAAACCCAATGGGGGTTGCTATGAGTCGGAATTGACTCAATGGCAGTGAGTTTGATTTTTTAAAAATAGCTAATGAAGAGTTCTGGTGGCATAATGGTTGGGGCATTTGTTAACCAAAAGTTTGGTGGTTTGAACCAACCAGCCACTCTGTGGGAGAAAGATGAGACAGTCTGCATCTATATTCATGAAGGATATTGGTCGATAATCTCTTTTAGTGGTGTCTCTGCCTGGTTTGAGTATCAGTGTTATTTTGGCTTCATAAAATGAATTCAGGAATATTCCATTCTTTTCTATATTCTGGAATAGTTTTCGTAGAATTAGTGTCAGCTCTTCTCTGAGTGTTTCGTAGAATTTGCAAGTGAAGTCATCATGGTCAATACTTTTTTGTTGGGAGTATTTTGAGTTCTTGTTCAATTTCTTCTTTTGTTATGGGCTTATTCAAATTTTCTAACTCAATCTGTGTTAATTGAGGTAAGTAGTGTGTTCTAGAAATCTGTCCATTTCTTCTAGGTTTTTAAATTTGTTGGAGTACAGTTCTTCATAGTTTCCTGTTATTTCCTTTTTATTTCACTTGGTTCTGTTGTGATATTACCCATTGTTCTGGTTACCTGGTGCTGCTCTGACAAGAATATACCACCAGTGGGATGGCTTCAAGAAACAGGAGTTTATTTTCTTATAGTTTGGAGGCTTTACGTCAAAGTTCAAAGTGCCAGGCTCTAGGGGCTGGGTGAAAGCCCCTCAGCCTTGAAGTCCAGCTCTGCCTCTTGCTCCTGGCCCATTGGATATAGAGGCATTTCTTCACTCAGACAGCTGCTGGCTGCTGAGGCTGACAAGCCCAAGGTTGACAAGTAAAAAGGCACAGTCCCGATGTTACCAAACCACATGGCAGGCCATTAATTCAAGTCTGTTGAAAGTCCCAAGATCGGCAGAGCATGGCAGGGTGCTAAACAACGACATGGCTACATGCAGGTTTCAAGTGTGCCATAAGCTACAGACCATTCCCAAATCTGTTTCTTACATATGGGAAGCAGACCACATACCCAAAGCAGCTACTCAGCAGCTCCAATAGATTCCACCATAGAGTTAATTACCAATCTCACTATGGGGAATAATTACATTCAGCTGCTCAGACACTCAACTAGGCCAAGTTGCCCAGCCAAGTTGACACACAAACTTAACTACCACATCCATTTATTTCTTATTTATGTTATTTGCATCTTCTCCTTCTTTTCTTTTGTTAAATTTGCCAGTGATTTGTCAATTTTATTAATCTTTTCAAAGAATCAACTTCTAGTTTTGTTGATTCTTTCTGTTGTTTTCATGTTTCATTTATTTCTGCTTGAATCTTATTTTAATCTCTTTTTCGAATTACTGGCGATGTTGAGTTAAGGTGTTGATTTTGACTCTTCCTTTTTGATGTGTGCATTTATTGCTGTAAATTGTCCTCTGAACACTGCTTTTACTGTGTCCCAAAGATTTTGGTATGTTGTGCTTTCATTCTCATTTGATTCAAGGAATTTTTTGTTTCATTTTTTATTTCTCTTACTACCCAGTAGTTTTTAACCAGGGCATTATTCAGTTTCCATGTGTTTGATTTTTTTTTTTCCTTCAATTTCCTGTTGTTGATTTCTAATTTTATAGCACTGTGATCTGAGAAGATGTTTCGCAATACTTCAATGTTTTTAAATTTATTGAGGCATGCTTTGTGGCCTAACATATTGTCTATCCAGAAGAATGTTCCATAGGCACTGG